AAGAAGCAAAAAATCTCAAGGGGGTGTGCGACATAGCACTGATGCGGTGACTTCAAGTTCAGCTTCTTGAAATCGCAATACTCAGAAGTTGCACAACACCAAAGCAATTTTACCCCTCTTTTTTTAGTGCTGGTGAAGTTGCAGCGGTGTTGCGCAATCTATTCTAACTAGTTGAACATCACCAAAACAACTATTTTATTTTCTCAAGCATATTTTCTCATATTTTCTCATAGTTTATAAGCTCGAATATGATATATAATTCTTATATATCATATTCGAGCTTATAAACTGACGTTTGAGCGTTTTGTGAGGGGCTCTACAAATTTATCAATATTCAAGTACCCCTGCAAATATTGGATCACCTCTAACTTTCTGAAATCCCTCGAGCTTTTAGTGCTTTATTCACTTGCGCTTTCGCTTTGGCTAATAGCTGATAGCCTCCAGGGAGCGTGAAGACCTTCTCATCTCCAGGCCCTGCCAATAAATCGTCGTAAGACACATGAATAACGGTAAGAGACCAGATTATCATTAGTTCATAGAATAGGTGCTCTTCAATTTGACAGCTAGTAAATGTTTGCGCTATATTAATCTTTATTAGCCAGACATTCAAAAATTAATAAACTGCTTCCTTAAAAACTTCTAACCTCTAAGCAGCTCGTCAGTACGTCTGGATCCACATATCGATCCAATGCATATGCCATCAGATTCGCCTCTCTGCTACCAAGGATAAGCAGCAGCTGTTGACGCCTTTCAATAGATTAGTCAGTTGTTTTAAAATGTTTAGTCATCAGAATTTGTCTCAGTTGAAGTTCTGTCATATTTTATACAAAAAAGCTATTCGTAATTTTTGAGGATAACAAATTCCTTCAGCTAAACTTGGTCTATAAATTATATGTGCTCCATCCGTTAAGCAATTTATCCAGTTATATAAAATCATTTCTAAATCCTTGACTAGTTTTGCAAAATAGAACCTCTGAATTATGATATTAAATATATACATTTACAACAAGTAATAGAATTATCCTACCTGTCCTCTCTCTCTTTCAGTGCCCAGATTTATACGGGATTTTTTTTGCGTGAAAGTCAAGTGTAGAGTGATGTCAGTTGCTGCTGCTGCAAGGTTTCCATTGCAAGACCCATTTCGCTATTTCTTTCTCCCTTCTAAGTTTTTTTCTTGCTGTTGGAGCACTTCGATCCGATAATTGTCGTGACGCTGTGGCATTATCTAGCTAGTGGTACTTGAGAAAGATTTGATTAAAAAGTTGATGACTCATTTTTAGGATTATTTAAGTGCGTCTTCGCTGGGCTTTGCGCCCCAGTTCACTTCCGTCCTACTTGGTTGATTTATCCTTTTTGAAAGAACACTAAGCATTGCACAAGAGGATACGGCAATTTTCAAGATGTTTTCCTTTGCAGATGCACTTGCCAAAAAGATGACAAGTGGGCTGCTTGTCTTTATTGTTCTCGTCATCTTCTTCATCTCCGCCTCGCTCGACTTCATTTATTTCCCTAGTTAAAGCCGTTCATTTCAAATTCTTATTAAAGCCGTAGTCCCATGCATTCTGTGTGAGATACATCGAGTAGTATTTACCTTTTTTTGGTGAAAGCAACTTTTGAACAGACAGGTTCGAGACTTAGAAATTCACTTTAGAAATTCTGTGGTGATCAAACTGTTGATATGCATCTTCTAAGCACAAATGTTCTTGAATACCTTCATAAGGTCACTGTCTACGGCACCAAATAATTGTGTTACAATAAATATGCTGTCTTTCTAGAACTCAATAGCCTTCTATTTCTCAAACAAACTTACGAAGGTCTTTTGTCGAAATATCAAAAGTTTAGATACACGACTCTTAGATATTTCCTTTGCCGGCTTCCATCAAAGACATCCATTGCAAGCGGCTGGTTTTTATATATTTGCTCTGTTCTTATTTTAGGCTATTGGTTTCAGAATACAGGATTTCCTTTCCTCTGAGGATTTTTCAATGTGTGCTTGCCTGAAACTGGACTTCTCTGAATTCATATTTCCTACGCTTGGCATTCATATTTTGAACTATGTCAGAGTATATTT